CCAGCCTCTCCCCAGAGACCATCCCCCTCCCCGGCCCTGAACTGGGGGAATGGGGGAGGCCCCCCTAGGACCGTGCTGGGCTTCTGCCGGCCCAGCGCATCGCTTGTGTGAAAGCAGCAGGCTGGGAAAGTGGCAAGTGGCATCCGCAGGGAAACGTGCCAGGCTCTCGCTTCCATCCGGCAGCTGCGGTGTGCAGCTGTTGGCATTCAGCTGCCCCCGGCACTTGGCAGGGGCGAGCAGTGGGCAGCCAGTGTGTGAAGGGAGGAAGGTGGGAATCAGACAGGTGGGAAACACTCATCTCATGGGAGAAGTCCTGCAAAACTCCTGCACCCCAAAGCGGGATGGACCCAGGCTGAGCGCCAGGTTTTGCACAGGAGACCAGGCCGAAGGGGCCAGCAGTACCGCCTTACGCTCACAGACCGCTACATACAATTTTGGGAGCTCGGCCCACTCCCAAACATGAGGGGGGAAAGCCTGCAGCACTCGGACCCCCGCCTGCAGGGTCAATTGGACTATCATACCCCTCACTAAGAGCAGCCGCAATCCAATATGAGAGCGTAATGCAGCCCTATGCTAATGTGACCTCATCGTAAGTCCAAGCAAGGGGAGCAACGATAGAATGAGAGCATGACCGAAAAGGACAGTGATGCAGGGACAGGAACCTACAATTCAACTCAGAAAAAGATTCAACTCAACACCAGGCAACAGCTCGGAAAGACCCCCAGGAGAACAAGGCGGCCACAGACATGCCAGCTCCAGTGGATGCAACAGACTTCCGAGGAAGGTGGTTTTCTATCCCCACCTTGCTGGGGTAGCAGGACCGCAGGGCCAACCCCTGCTCCTATTTAATGAGGGATCTTTAAGGAAGCCTGAACTGCTCCATGCCGGAGAGCCCAGAGCCAGCATTCCTCTAGGAGCCGGAAGCGGCCACATGGGAAAGCCCCCGGCGCGTGCCCACAGCCAGCACAGCTGCGTGGCCGCCCTTGGTGTTCCTCTGAGCGGCAGAGGCTTGTGCACAGTCAATGAGGAGTCGCAGCCCAGGACTGCCTAGAGGAGTCCCTCGGGGGCCGGTGTGTACAAAGAACTTCCCTCTGCTGCTGCCCACAGCCCAGCCCCCGAGGCACCAGTCAGGCTCCAGACTGCACCCGCTGCACCCGGGCAGCATGGAGGTGGAAGCCTGGAGTCAACGAGGCAATGGCAGCGTGTAAGCCCACCCTTCCCACACGTGGGGAGTTCAACCGGGGGAAGGGGGAAGGGTGTGTGCACATCCACAAGCCAAGCCGGGAAATGCACTAGAGCCAGGACGTGTCCATGTCTGGGAACCGGACCAGCCGCCCCCCTTCCTGCGGCACTCAGAGTCAGCGCAGGGGGCTCTGTGTTATACTGGGGCTCATTTTGGCCCCTGGTGGTCTTAGAGTCAGAGGACTGGAATGTGGCTGACAGCTGCCATGCCCCCCGCTCCTCAGCTGCCCCAACGACCTGGCTCCACTGGTCGCAGGGGCCCAGGCCCCCCGGGGCAGCTCCACCCATGGCGGGGGCAGGACAGATTTACAACAGCTCTGGTGCCGGTCCATATACGTTTCTAAGGCCCAGACCGAACAGCTGGGTTCAGACAATCACCCAGACCAGCACCATGCTGGGGCACTGGTCTGAACAGGAGACACTACGCCTCCATCCCGGAGTAATAGAGCCCTGAACGGGGCGGATTTCTACAGCTGCTCAGGCCCCGCCAACAAGCCCTCAGGGCGGCTCGTGGGACTTCACGAGGGACCAGCAGTGCAGGACCGGCACGTTTCAGGCGGGGGCAAGGGAGGAGTTGAAAGTCTCTCTTGCAGACCAGGCAGCTGAGCTTTCTAGCTTGAGAAAGGCGATGGGCCCAGCCCCTAGAGAACACAGCACTACCTCAAGGCTTCCGGAGGGCAGGCCGGTGCTGGCTGGGAGCATTTTTAAAGACCTCAGACCTTCCCCAGATGCTTTTGTACAGCGGCAATGAACAGCGCCACACAGGACCCAGTTCTACTGCCCTCACAGAGGCGTGCGTGCCAGAGTACCTCAGCTTTTCCTCTGCTCCCACCCACTCATCTAGGGCCCCAAAACAGGGGGAGCTGGGGTGGAACAGGGGGTGCTGAGTACTAAGGGCAGGCAGGGCGAGTGACAAGGCTGCACACGGTGAGTCGGGGAGACCCAGAGCCTGGATGCAGATGGGGGGGTCAGACAGGCCCAGGCAGCCCCCTGTGGTAAGTAGGCCTTCCCGCCTTTTCCCAGCCTAGCAGCTTTGGCCCCCTTGGCCCACCCCTCATGCCGGCCAGGTCCCCGGATTCCTCAATTCCACCTCGGCCGGGGGCAACAGACATTTATTTTAAATGCAGAGAGCGGGGGAAGCTCCCGCGGCAAACACCCAGCGCGGCCCCCGCAGCCGAGCTCAGCCAGGCCCTGCGCCCTGGCAGCCGGCAAAGGCACTAGGAGACAGGGATGTCAAATCCCGGTTAGGCGGCTTACTGGTCAAACAAGGCCAGGTCCGGCCAGGCCGGCTGCGGGCGGGGGGCTGCCCGCTGGTTAACCCTTGACGTCCCAGCCAGGAGACGGAAGAGAAGTTCACATCCCATTCACCGCTACCTTGGAGCCCCTTCTGGAGAGGGCAGAGGTAGCCCCAGGCCTTTCTCCGCGGCTGGCAGCCTCCCTTCAGCCCCTCCAAGGATCCTGCCTCCCGGACAGGCTGCTCGAGAGGCACCATTCTGGCTCCAGCAGCCGGGACGGGTACGTGGGGGGCGTCGCTCTTTACCCGCAGCGTCCCTGCCGCCAGCTCCTCTCCCAGCCCCGTGCGGGTCACACAAGCTCCACTGCCTTCAGCATGTCCGACAGCACATAGGAGCTGTCCCAGGCCCGGCCGGGCTGCCTCAGCGTCCTCTCCAGCACCCGGGCCGCCTCCAGGAGCTCCGGGGCAGCCAGCTGCCCCTCAGGGTGCGGGCGGCAGTACAAGATCTCGTTGACTTCCCCCTCGATCCTCCGGGCGTAGAGCAGAGGGAAGACCTCCTTGAGGGCGGCCAGGACGGAGGCCTTGAGCAGGGAGTCTCGGCACACCAGGTTGAGCACAAAGACACCTGCAGCAAGGGGAAAGCAGGCAGCGTAGGCGCTGGAGTGCTCAGAAGTATCACGCCCCCACAGGCAGAGGCGCTGCTGGGAAACTACAGATCCCAGCAGGCTGTGCTCACGCAGCCAGGCATGCTGGGATGTGAGATGGCCCAGCACATGGCCACGCTCCGGGCTCTAGTCGCATGCCGGTAGCTGCAGCTCGTGAACGAACAGCCCAGCCGCCCCTCCTGGCCCTTCCCCCCGGATGAACAGCACCTCGCTTCGTGGGCCTGCTCACGGAGGAAGGCCCAGCCACCTGCCCCACACCACCCCGCACATCCATCCAGTGGCTCTGCCTGCCGAGCGTCCCGTCAGACGGGTGGCACTGGCTCGGTTTTCCGAGCAGGGCTCCGAGGCAGAGATGAGCGGCAGAACCAGGCCCAGAGCCCAGGGATCCAACTCCCCGTGCGGGTCACGGTTGCTCGCTTCAGCACAGAGACTCAAGGTGCTGACCCCCGGCTGGCGCGAGATCTGCGCACACGCGAGGCTGTCAAACAGCCGCTCCGTACCGTCTGGGGCCAGGATGGTCCGAACCTTCTCCAGGAAGGACTTTTCCACAAAGGCCGGGGGCGGGCAGCTCATTCCCAGCGTGGGATCCTTGCTGTCTACGTCGAACATGACGGCGCTGTACCGGGCGGGCGCTGCAGAAGGAGAACAGAGCGCAGTCAGTGGCCCCAAAGTACCAGACTCAGCCAGTGCCCACTCGCTGCCCTAGATGTGGGGGCAGCGACAGAGATACGAGGTGGCAGGTTTAGAAAAAGATCCCTCTGCCATTGCACAGCTCCTCCGAGGCTTAACAAATAACGTGCAGGCAGCTTTTCCCCTGGCACTGAAATGCAGCCACCTCTGGGGCATGGCAGCTGTTCAACACATAACAGAGGAAGCAAAGACCACTGTGTTGGCACTACAGGTGCCGTACTAACAGCACCGCAGCTCACGGGTGTCGCTAACGCCGGGAGGAGCTGATGGGGCGGGGCTGATGGGGCAAGCGGCAGAGCTCAGAACAAAAGAGGGCCCCTCGCACTTTTGGTGGGGGACAGGAGAAACCGACAAGGGCCACGGAGCCAAGGGGGGGCTCCGTTCTGCCACGGATACCGTCCTGACATTCGAGAAGGGGCGAGTGGGATGGGGGCCTATGAGATGGGCTGTCTGCAGGGCCCCAGGCCAATTACCCTCGGCCGCTGCCCGCTCGGCCACGTAGTCCAGGCCGTCCGCAACGTGCACCTTCAGCCTGTCGCCTTGGGAGAAGCCGAACCACCGGGTGGCCACTTCCAGCATGGCGTGGTCGATTTCAACCGCCTCGACGCAGGCCTGGCAGAAGTAGTCGTGGATGAAGAGCGGCAGGCTGCCCCCGCCCAGCCCGATCACCAGCACCGAGAGCCGGGCTCCTGCAAGCGGGAACAAGCCGGGAAATGAACCGCCCGCCATCTCCTCGACCCACCGCCCCCTGCAGGCTGATGGGAGACGCCCCCACCACTGAATCCGGCTTCCCTAGGTCCTGGGGTAGCTCCAGGGCATGGAAGCACCTTCCCCATCATCCCTCCCATCCCCTCGGCCCCCTACATTGTTAACCCTTTCCCGCCTGCAGCTGGGTTTAGTTCACGCTCTGCTGCTCCAGACACACACCCCGGCCGGTCAGCGGGATCAGCTCTTACGCCTTCGAGGGGCAAGTTTTCATTCTCATCCCGACCACACCTGGACCTCCAGCTGCACCGGGGGTCCCCGTGGAGCCTGGAAATGCAGACATGCAAGTTCGGGGCAGGAGCTGTCTTTGCAGAGGCCGTCTGCGGACGCTGGGGCTGCCCCCGGGCTACCAGGCATTAGCTGCCGAATGGGAGCGCCCAGGACAGTGAGCGCCAGAGCCAGGCAAGCACCAGGCCACCCCGCAGCTCAGCTTGGACAACAAACCCACCCTGCCCTGAATTGCCCTGGCCTTGCAGAGCCGGACGCCTCCCACGCAGCCCCCGCCGGGCCCGGGGTGCTGGGACCACGCAGGAGCTTCTTTCGCTTGTCAGCCCCTTGAACCAGCTCTGCCGTGGCAGGCGCCCCGCCCCAGAGCCACCCGGGCCCCCACCCCAGCCAGTCCACGGAGCGGCCCCCCGACCAGCAGGGCCTGGCACTCCTCCGAGGCCTGCCATGGGAAGATCGCAACATGCCCGGAGAGCAGCGCTTCCCCTCCGTGCCGCGGGCAAGCCGGGGAGCTGGGCACAGACCGGTGCAGCCCTGCGCCCTCGGTGTCCACGCCACGCACAGAAACCCGCAGTCCTGAGGCCAAGGCTCCTGCTCCGACCACTAGCCTGCACAGCCGCTCCGAACCGAAACAAACTGCGCTGGGGGGTGGAGGGGTTACAGCACTTTCCACACAGTGCCTGGCCGGCCCCTGAGACTCACCCCCTGCCTCTGGGATGGGCAGAGGGGAGAGAACACGGACGGAGCAGCCGGCGCCGTGGTCCCTGGGCCCCTGCTAGTCAGTCTCTGATGGAGACCCCGGCCCCTGCAGACGAGCCCAGTGCAAGTGCAGGGAAGACTCGTCCTGGGGACGATGGACCTTGTCCCTGGGCTTGCGGGGCTCTCACCTGGTAGGAGCTCAGGGCTTCCCAGCAGCGCCAGGCCCGCGACCATGGCCTTGTGGTGCTCGCAGCAGAGGTAGCTCCTTCCCACACTCAGCCTCCGTGGCGCCCGCCGCCAGCTTCTTCTTCGCCTTCTTCCGCTTCTTCTGGCCTGCACGACAGAGGTGAGCCAGGTGCCCAGGCAGACGCGCTGAGGGGACACATGGCGCCTCCTTGGGGGAGGGGACGCCAGGCCCGCAGGGGCTCTGCTGGAGCTCGGAGAAGGGCTCCTTTTAGTCTGCTATCTCCACTGAGGGCTCAAAGGGGCTAGACGGTCTCCCCAAGCCCGCAGCCCGGCCCCCTACCTCTGGCTGCAGGGAACTCCTCTCGCTGCTCCCTTCCCGACGTTCCAGACGCCCATCCGCCTTCACGCCCCCCTCCCTGGACTTTGGTACCAGCCTGGACACCCCTCAGCTCCAGCCTCCCTACCTGCTGCCCAGAACCATCCAACCGTGGCTGGCTCTGCTGCACCTCTCCCCAGCCCTTCCCCCAGCTGCCCACGCCCCCCAGCCTCTTTCCCCCCGAGCCTCTTTCCAGCCCCCAGGCCAAACTTGCTGACCTTTGGGGGCCGTGCTGGGCAGCAGCCTGGCTTCGGACTGCACCACGTTCCTGTTGCTGAGGAAGATGAGCCGTCGGAAGTAGCAGGCGTCGTCCCCCCTCACGTCCTCGATGACGAAGTCCCCACTCCTGGCGCTGCTGTTCCGGTGCTGAATGGTACGGACCCCGATGTCCCCCCCCACCGAGAGAAACGGCACCTGGGGCAGGAGGAAAGGAGCAGACAGGGCGTCACAGACCACGAGGCCCACAGAGCACAATAGGGTCTCTCCACCACAAACACAATGGGTTGTTCTATGCGGAGTTGTGCCAGCTCCCACCTGCTCCCCGTCTAGGCCAACTGGAGACCAGGGTGTTCGCACCGCAGCCTGGCTCCATGGAGCACCACAGTCAGAGGGCTGCTGTCTGGATACAGGTTCTGATGGGTTCAAGGATCTCGTCTGATTTCAGCGGTGCCCAAATAAATCAGAAAGTCACTTTGCTTTCTTAAGGTTTTTGTCCACCCTGGCAATACTCTGAGGGAACCAGCTGGCCTCCCGAGAATTCTACCACCAGCTGTTTGTCTAACTGGGTCTTAAAAGCCTCCAAGGAAGGGCAAGTCCACCCCCTCGGCAGGCCCTTTGTTCTAGTGCTTCATTACCTTGACAGTTCAGGAGCTTTTCCTGATGTCCAACCTTAACCACCCCGCTGCACTTTTGCCCCGTTGCTTTTAGCTCCGTCCTCGGTGGATAAGAGAACAAGCTGTGTCACTCCACTTTAGAACGGCCGCGTACGTGCTTGAAGACGTAACACCTCCCCCTTCAGTCTTCTCTTCTCCAACCCAACCCATTTTGTTCAATCGCTCCCCACGGGCCCTGGTTTCTAGACCTTTCCTCATTTGTGCTGCTCTTCTTTGGACATCCTCCCATTTGTCCACCTCTTTACTGAAGCATGCTGCTCAGAGATGGACACAACTCTTCTGAGGCCTAATCAGTGCTGAGGAGTAGCAGTATATTAATCTTTCACATTAAGGCAGGTTTGTCTGCCGGATGCGGAGACCTGTTTGACTGACTTCTTGTGCTTTGCTTACGACACTCCTAGTAATCGATCCCAAAGTGACGTTCGCTTTATCTGCAACAGTATTATATTGGCCACTCATACTGTGCTTACGATCCGCTCTGCCTCTCCGATCCCTTTCGGCAGAACTCCCTAGGCGCTCATTTCCCATGCTGCATTAATGCACTTGATTGTTCCTGCCCAAGTGTAGCACTTTGCATTCGTCCTTATTTGCTTTCGTCCTATTTACCTCGGCCCATTTCTCCAGTCTGTCCAGATGAGTTTGAATTCTGATCCTCTCCTCCAGAGCAGGGATGTGACCGGGTAAGCGGCGATGCTTACCGGGTAATGGGTTAACCAGTGCCCGACAGCGGCCCACTGCCACCTAGCACCCCTCCATCCGGGACCCCACTCAATTGCTTAACCGTCCAACCCTAATGTTTAACTGGTGGACTGACTGAACGAGATTTTACATCCCTACTCCAGAGCGCAGTTGGTCTCAACCAAAAACATCCAGTGTATTATCTTGGCCATTATCCAAATCGTTCATGAAGACACTGAAGAGACTGGATCCAGGATATAGCCATGTTGCACCAGATGCATCTTAGGAAGGAACAGGATATTTGCCATAGGAGCCCAAAGAGGCTCTGGAAACAGGGCTAGTGGTCTGGGATGCACGGCGCAAGGTGCCTTCCCTCTAAAAACCAGGCTCTGTGGAAGGGTCTGAAGATGAGGCCTCCAAAGTCACAGCCTAAAGAAAACGTGACTGGAGAGGGGGGCAGGGAGAATAAAACGGCGGGCATCTTAGGAAGGAACAGGATATTTGCCATAGGAGCCCAAAGAGGCTCTGGAAACAGGGCTAGTGGTCTGGGATGCACGGCGCAAGGTGCCTTCCCTCTAAAAACCAGGCTCTGTGGAAGGGTCTGAAGATGAGGCCTCCAAAGTCACAGCCTAAAGAAAACGTGACTGGAGAGGGGGGCAGGGAGAATAAAACGGCGGCTAGACCTGTGGGGTCCAACCAGTTCTGAAGCAGTAGCCACTTAGTGGCTGCACAGACAGCCCCGCGTGGCTAGCGCATTGGACACCCCGGGGCTAGACGCTGGGTTGAGTTACGCCCCGGAGCCAAACCCCTCTTGACCGGGACCAGACTTTGCAGAGGGAACCCACCCCCGGCCGGGAAGCGGAACATGGCTGCACAAAGACCAGCGGAGACCCCGCAGTAGGCGTGGAACGGGGAGAGGAGCAGGCTGGCTTTGCTGGGAACAGCACCTACCTGCTGGTGGGCCGGGAGGCCAGGCGGCGCCAGCTCCATCACTTTCCCCGACAGCTGGGCCTGGATGCCTTCCATCCCTGCGTAGTGCTGATCGCGGTGCAGGGCCACCGTCACCAGCCGCCTGAAGCCTGCGCTGGCAGCCAGCTGCCTCCCCCCCGCCTCCGTGCCAAAGAGCCACTCCGTCTCCCTGCCCTGCGGGACTGAGAAAGGGGCTGTGTCAGGAGAGCAGAGTCGGGCGCCACTCACCAGCATCTCGGCCTGCAGGCGGGAGCAGCCAAAGCGGCTGCTCTCAGCTCTAGTAGGGAGAAGCTCCAGACGACAGCACAGCTTGGATCGAGATGGAGCTAGGGTGCTCAGAGCTCCTTAGATGCAGCCCTCTGGCCCTGGCGAGCCACACCCCTCAACTGACTCCGTTGTGGGGGGCCCCTTCCCCAACTCCATTCGGGACACGGAGGCTTGGCTGCACCGGTGGAGTCAGCCCTCCCTGCAAATGGCAGCAAGGCACTTCCAGGCCCCTGCTAGTCCCAAGGAAGCCGGAGTTTGTACACACTGGAGATGTGCCAGACATGCCCCCAACCCGGCAAACTGCCAGGAGTGCATTGAGGATATCCACACAGAGAACTGGTCTATCTCGCTCACCTGGCTAGGAACAACCGGGCCGAGCAGCACGGAGAACGTTAGCTACAAACATGCGTAAAAGCTCCGGGGTCCACATCTGCTCTTAGCAGGGACAGATTCTACCACCCAAATGCGGAGCTGCTGGTCCCTTTCTCCATACGAACCTCAATGAAATGAACAGAGGGGCAGGGTACAGCTCATTGCAAAGGAGACAGGATCGGAGCCTCCTGGTTAACAGCTGTACCGTGCATGGTGTGCTTGCCCAGCTAGCTGAGGTAGGGAGCGATCCAGCTATCACAAGTGCTGATGAGATCAAGGCCCATTGTTCACCACATCTTCAGATTCCACCAAGGTTTCCCAATCTATGGGTCAGCATTATATTTAAAAGGGTCTCCCCAGGTGGCTCTTAATTGCCACATTTTTTTGAATTGCCCTGGGTCACCAAGTCTTCCTGAATTGTCAAAATGGGTCCCCATCTGGAAAAGGTTGGGAGCCCCTGGATTACACCGATGGACACAATTTGGAGAGGCAAAATGGGGCAGTTACATGGGATCTGACCCGCAGCCCGCTCCGTCGCCAGTTCCTTACATCCAATTAAGGCTCCGTATCCGCTCAGGGCACCACGCTGCTTTTTTGGCGAGTGGCTGGGCTCTGCCTACACACACGTGACTTGTTTTGTTGCTCCCGAACACCAAGATTTTCAAGCCTGGATATCTAAATGTGGGGGCTCTACCGCCTTTAAAGGCGGCTTTGATAAGGGCCTCGATTTGCAGAGCTGCTGAGCAGCGCTGGCCAAGAAAGGGGACTCTTTCCGAAAAAAGGAATTGATTTTTGTTTGGAAGGGGGGGAATTTCCCCCCACTTTGGAAAAGCCAGTCGAAAACGTGAAAGCTTGTCATGGGAAGGAATTTAAAGAAAAACTCCATTTCAGGAGAACTGACACAAAATGTGTCCGGCTTCCTGGTGCCCTCACTTGGGACGTCTCATCCTAGCTACTGGAGAATCAGCGGGAGAAATGCTCAGTGCCCGAGAGCTGGACGGGGGAAGGAAAGGCAACCCGCCCTCTGTTTGGGTGACAGTGGCAGATCTGGGGCACTATTTCGTTTCACCGGGTTTGCTAGCCTCTGCCGACAAGCCCACGTTCAGCTGGAAAACCCCTAAGCCTCTCTTCTGAACACCCAGCAACTGCCGTGGAAACAAACAGGAGTGGTTAGGAGCCAGCATAGGTGAAAATCAGAGCCTTTTTATACCTAACCAGGGGCTTACGAGCAGAACTGTAGAGTCCTGCGGCGAAACGCTGCCCCCGCTGCCGTCGATGGGAGAGAAACGCCTTTTCGGAGGAGCTCCACTCACCGATGAAGATGGCGAAGTGATGGTCACGGGAGGCGTTCACGGAGGGGCTGTCCACCACGTGCAGCGTGTAGCGAGGCTTCCCGGTGTCCGCGTCGCACAGATCCAGGGAGACGTCGCCCGCACCGGGGGCTTTGTCCAGCTGGCTGCGCAGCAGCGCGTACATCTGCCTCTCCTTTACCGCCTCCACCAGCCGCTCCGCGCTCTCCACCCGCACAGGCTTGTCCAGCTCCTCCGTGCAGATCTCCAGGATCGGCTGCACCAAACCAGGGAGCTTCTTGCACTTGGTCATGACGTAGAGGAAAACGGGCAGCACGAACTGCTGCTGGGCCTCTCTGTCCTCGCTGCCCGCCAGCTGGTGAATGCGCACCACCCACCCCTCCTTGGAGAAGTAGCCCACCGCTTTCTTCACCACGTGGGCCTGGGCCAAGGAGACGCACAGGTAGCGGCCCCCAACCTGCAGCACCCGGCTAATCTCAGCGAACATCCTGTCCACCCTTTCGAGAGTGGCCTCCTCTTCGTCGACCAGGATGGCATCCAGGGTGCCCTTGTCCAGCACCACCTGGAAGCGGGCGTCCGGGAAGTCCATCTGCAGCATGTCCATCACCAGGAAGCTCATCTTCGGCCTCCTGTCGGCGTTGCGCTCCCTCATCTGCTTGATCACCACCTCGCTGATGTCCACGTTCATGATGTCCTGGTAGCCGACGTCATACATCTGCTCGCTCAGCTCGGAGTTGCCGCAACCCACCACGAGCACCTGGGACATGCAAAGAGAGGGTAGCTTCCCTGGGGGTCCCAACCCCCCCCACACACCCTCATCTTCGGCCTCCTGTCGGCGTTGCGCTCCCTCATCTGCTTGATCACCACCTCGCTGATGTCCACGTTCATGATGTCCTGGTAGCCGACGTCATACATCTGCTCGCTCAGCTCGGAGTTGCCGCAACCCACCACGAGCACCTGGGACATGCAAAGAGAGGGTAGCTTCCCTGGGGGTCCCAACCCCCCCCACACACCATGGAGACGAGCAAACACCCGTGGGGAACGGATGCCGGGGGGGG